ATCCCGTTGCCCTGAATGGGTAAACCAACCCTTTATCCCTCAACCTAAAATACTAAGGAAAAGTCCCACTGCCTTAAGACTGGTTTGCTTATCAGCCAGAAAAAGAACCGAAAGCTAGGAGCTTTGCTACAGACTTCAAGAGAGCCAACAGGCGTTTGGCTGCTCTTTTACATATATTGGTACTGAAATTGCTTGAGGCTTTCTGGCTCAGACACATAATTACTGAAAAGCTCCTTCATCCAGTCTTCAATTTCCTATTCCTTTGAAGGCAAAAATCTTGGACCGGCACTGATAAAGTACATGCATTTACTTGCTCCTTCGTTTCCCTTCGGAGGTACAATGCAGGGGGAGGGAATGCCATCCTTAATGCTGCAATCCTATACATACTTATCTAGAAGCAAGCCACCAGGAACTCATGAGTCCCTCGCAATAAATATGTGTGGTACCGCCAGCCAGTGTGGTGTTGTGGTGTGTCAGACTAAGACTCAGGAAACCTGGGTTCAAATCTCAGCCATGGAAATCTCCTGGGGTTGCCTGCCATCAACAACTCCTTGAACATCTCATGTACTTTGAAGACCTTCTTAGGTTAAGTCAGAAGCATCTTGATACCCCATAAAACCAAGACCAACGTATATAGGATTGTGTGTCTAATACCCACTGTTTTCCGATCCTGGGCACTCAGACTGGGATCCATGTAACCAAACTCTTCCGAACCATTCCCAAGCTCCCGTTGTATTCTTATAATGCAGTGGTTCCTAATCTTGGGCCCCTAGGTATTCTTGAACTGTCACTCCCAGAAGCCTTGGCCAGGACAGCCTGTGGTGACGGCTTCTGGGAGTTTTAGTTCAAGAACATCTGGTTATCCAAGGTTGGTAACCATTGTTATCATGCATCAATGCTGTGTTATTTACAGTACCTTGAAAAGTTTTGAGCCCATTTGAGTGACAATGGTTTCTTCTAAACCCTTCGCAGCCTTGCGTTTAAATCTACTTGTTTTTTAATTGATCTATGAGCTACATTTTAGATGGCTAATCAAGGTCAAAGCAAAATTACCGTTCCACTCAGACATAAATAAGAAAATTACATTTTATATACGTTTCCTTTTTTCATGTAGATATGTGTATATATGTAACACTTTCTCCCGGCCTAAATATCCACCCCTAATGGACAACACTTTGACGTGAAAGCAAAGTTTTAGTAAACCTAATCCAGGTCGGTTCTGACCAAATGGGCAGCTAATCATCCTTACAGACACCTCAATAGGAAAGGAGGCATTTTTTTCTCATCTTTCATGAAAGGTTTACCTTTGAAAATGAGACCCTCTCTAGCACAAGGGTCTCACATAGACCTGGAAGAGGTGAATTATTCGGGTTTTTGGTTTCAAAAGGCCAGAGACAGTTAACACATAGAATGAGGCAGAAAAACGGAGTTTATACGGGTTGAGAATTTAAAATCTATGGGCAGAATGAGGACAAAGAACAAAGAGATGAAGTGATGCAACCTAAGGCCTGTCTGATCTCCCATTCAGCGGACATGGTGGCCAGTGAAAATGACTCTAGAAAGTCCCCAAGCAACATGTGAATTCAACAGCATCCTCCTGCAGTAGAGATTGGTAATGGCAAGACCAGGACTCTCTGACAGTGGGAATAACGCATAGCTATTGGGAAATGTAGTTGTTTTCATAAGCCCAATTGAAAGCCATCCAAGAGAGGCAGTGCAGTGGAGTGGGTAGAGTGTTGGCACAGGACTTAACAGACCTGGCTTCAAATCCCTGCTTGACCATCGGAAAGTTCTTGGAAGGGTGGACAACAGTACTCCACTCCCTGAGTGTTTCCTGTAACTCAAAAAATTGACTAGGGTCGGCATAAACCAGAAGCAAGTCAACACTTAAGTTGGTAATCATGACAGGGATCGCCCTAACCGCTCTGAATGTTGGAAAGTTAACAGAGGGACTAAATTAAAACATAATGGGGAGGGGGGTCAAGAGAATCCTTTTCTGGCATATCCGAGAATGGCAGGAGTTAAATGCCTCCATTACTCCTGCATTCCACCCAAGAACTGCATGAACAGGTAAGTCTTTCCCATCCCCTAACCAGCCTATCTTAATTCCATCTGATGGCCAACAGATAAGGGAGCCGTGTGTATACAAGTGCTCCTTTGCAATGAATCCACAATATGGGAAAGGTACCACCGTGTTCCCATTGCATCAGAGTCAACCCTTTGTAGGGGACACTTTCGTTTCGTCTGGCCTGACTACACAAATGTATTGTGGTCTGTATTTGGGTGTAACCCAAAAAGGGTGCTAAACTAAGCCAGGAAAGAACATTAAGCAGCCCAACGAGCGGACAAACTGGGCCACGATAAAAGAACTTGCGTAGTCGTATATTTTCAAAGCGGGCAAGGGTCATGTCAGAGGATTCCGGCGATTGCTGATGACTCCAGTTTCAAGAGTGATCGAAATCCACTCCATATTGCTGCCTGCATGCCATAGGAGTTCTCCAAGGTGCTGAACCCTATATAGGATCAGCAACCTGGATAACTCCTCTAAAGTGCACGCTGAAACTGGGAGTGGATTCCCAGCAGTCCCGAAACGAAGCAAAAGCTGCCATGGGAAGATCACAGCTGAAATCAAGGAGGGAGAAACGCAGGATTACTCCAGTGTGTGTGCTCAGAACTCCATGAGCACAAGAGTTCTTAAGTAGAGACCCCACTGTATGGGAAAGGTACCACCGTGTTCCCACTGCATCAGAGTCAACCCTTTGTAGGGGACACTTTAGTTTTGTCTGGCCTGACTACACAAATGTATTGTGGTCTGTATTTGGGTGTAACCCAAAAAGGGTGCTAAACTAAGCCAGGAAAGAACATTAAGCAGCCCAACGAGCGGACAAACTGGGCCACGATAAAAGAACTTGCGTAGTCGTATATTTTCAAAGCAGGCAAGGGTCATGTCAGAGGATTCCGGCGATTGCTGATGACTCCAGTTTCAAGAGTGCTCGAAATCCACTCCATATTGCTGCCTGCATGCCATAGGAGTTCTCCAAGGTGCTGAACCCTATATAGGATCAGCAACCTGGATAACTCCTCTAAAGTGCATGCTGAAACTGGGAGTGGATTCCCAGCAGTCCCGAAACGAAGCAAAAGCTGCCATGGGAAGATCACAGCTGAAATCAAGGAGGGAGAAACGCAGGATTACTCCAGTGTGTGTGCTCAGAACTCCATGAGCACAAGAACCAATGCCCTTGTTACCAGTGGTGGAAAGATCCTTGTGGACATCTCAGAAACGGATGTGGGCAGATGCCCTTCAAGGCACCCAATCAGGGCAAATGCTCCCTCCGCCTAACGAATGTTGAGTGAAAATACTCAACTTGTAAGTCTGTCCTTTAAAAATACAGGGAATGAAGCATACGTTGTTTCGTTTGCCTTCCTATACAGTGGACCCTCGACTTACAGACGGCTCGACTTACAGATTTTTCGAGTTACAGACTTCTCTGGCTGCAAAATTTAGATTCGACTTGCAGCCAGAGAGTCGACTTACAGACCAGGAAAAAACCAAAATAGAATAATAATAGAATAAAAACCACTGGTTATGGGATTAATCGGTTTTCATTGCATTGCAGGTCAATGGAGATTCGACTTAGAGACTTTTCGACTTGCAGCCACCATTCCAATACGGATTAATTCCTTAAGTAGAGGGTCCACTGTAGTGAAAAATATATTTGAAAGCTATAGGGGGTCTTCCTCCTAGAAATATATGGCCATAAAATGCATTCCCCCGGTCCCATCCATTGATTTTCCCACCCCCTCTTGTCTTTTTGGTTCAAGAAAACATAGCAGCCATTCTCGGATATATTAAACCATTGATTTTAGATGAAAAAATACAAACGTCACCTTTACAAAAAGACACTTGTTTGGTTGAGTAACACATAAAGCATAACTTTTTTTAATACCAAAAATAAAGAATTTTAGGCTTTTCGGCAGGGTCCTCCCCACGCCGCAGTGACATCATACAATACGGATAACAAGAAGAGTTTTTTTTTACATCTCACATAGCTTAAACATGTGGAATAGCAAACGAGATCGGTTTCAGGAGAGGAACGAAAAACGCTAGCCACAATATCACTTCCTGTGGGCGGCCACCACACATCCTGTTCTCATCCCCCCTGCCCCAACCCCCCGAAAAACTTAAAATGTATTTTCTGCTTGCATACAGCCTTCAAGGTCGCCTGGGCACGCCAGTTGCATTTCGTCAGGTCTTGGACACAGTGGCTTTTAAATTGCCCATGCTCCTCACGAAATCCATTCCACCATGATTTGTCTACCAAGGAATCTTACGTACCCACAAAAACCTGTCCATGTCAGGGGTGTGTGTGGTGGATTCTGGGGAGAACATCTGGGCCCACATTAGATGCGCAAAAAGTGCCAGCCACAATGAGGAGGCCTCGCAGTTGACCAAAAACATTTAAACAGAACAAATGTGTATTCTACGGCGACCCCAAGCTTCCCTGGTCTGCTCTCCGCCCTTCTCTGTAGTCCCATCCTTCATGGGGAGCAACAGAAATGGCCGCCCTGCGGTTTTCTGCTCCGCCATTACTGTTCCCCATGTTCGAGACTCGCCTGCCAACGTCAGGCCAAATCATCTGTGCGGAAACTGGGGTGGAGGGAAGGGCGAGGACTGGGCCAAGGGGGAAGAGCACGGACATAAACCAAGAAACATTTAGAAAATGATGCATAGGTATACCGTTTTTATTTTAATACATCTCATTAGTTCGCTCCCCCCCCTCCCCACTTAGGAGTAATTTTTTCTGTAATTTGTGCCTGTGTGTTCGGTGTCATCCATACTACAGCAGTCTTCTATATGGGTTATTGGTAAATGCTGTCCAAAATGATAATAAAAAGCTAGGCAAAGAGTAAAAAGAAAGCTTAATAATAACTTTATGGTATAAAAAAAAACAAGAACATCCACTTAAGGCGCCCCAGAAGGATTTTTCTTTCTCTCTCTCTCTCTCTCTCTTTTCTTTTCCTTTTTCTCCTTTGTATAGATTTTTAAAACACCACCAAGCCAAAACAGCAGAGTCCGGATTGTCCTTGTGGTGGTATTTGATACATCCCTGCTCTCTCCCTCTCTCTTTCTCTTGCGCGTGGTTTTAACATGTGCCTAAAACCTCCGTCAAGGGTCTCTCCGTCAGCGTCCGTCCCCTGTTCATCAAGAACGCAGCCACAGCTCTTGATGACCACCGCCAGAAAGAAAGCACCATTGACTGCTTTTCTAAGAGGAAATCTGCACTTAACTTAGTGTTGTGGTCGCGGCTTTTTCGTGTTGTTGTTGTTGCAAAAGTACTTTGGGTATCCTCCATTCATGTCATCTTTTCTCGTTTCTTGTTTTCGGGCAGGGAAGTGTCATATTGTTTCATAAGAGTGCTACAATACTTGCTTTGATGTTGTATTAAACAAATGTACACAGTCTCTTTTGTTCTCGTGAAGTCTCTCTCTCTCTCTCTTTCTCTTTACGCCAGTTTCTTTTTTCCCCCCCACGTAGGAGAATGAATGAAGTATACAGTCAATAAAGCACCATACACAGTAGGTTCAGGAATGTAACAAACAATGTACATCCATGTCCCAGAGAGAAATTATTTCGTAGCTTATTTTCACCTTACATCTGCAAGAAAGAAAGAAAGAAAAATATTTATAGGCATTCTGTTAGTTCTACTTTGGGCCCATCGCGAGAAGACAGGGTTCTCTGGAAAAGACAATAATGGTAGGAAAAGTTGATGGCAGCAGGAAAAGAGGAAGACCAAATAGGAGAGGGGCTGACTCTCTAAAGGAAGCCATAGGCTTGAGTCTACAAGCCTTGTGCAAGGCAGGTTAGGACAGGAGATTTTGGAGATCGCTCCTTCATGGACCAACGTGATGGCACATAACAACAGCAACAAACAGTTTTTGTGGTTAGACAAGTATTCTCTCATTTCGGTCATCGGAGGGAGGAACTCCAGCTATCACTAACTGAAAAGCCACTTCCTTGGGTTCTAAATGGTAATCATCATCATCATCTTAGAATTACAGAACTGAAAGGGACCCGATGGATCATCAGGTCCAGACCCTGTCAAGGAGGCACACAGTTGGAATCAATTTCCCAACCTAAATCCAGCACTCCCAACTATTACACTATAGTCAACATTTATAGGCATGGGATCCTTCCACCTGATCTTAGGTATCCTTCATTCTCAAGAGACTATGGTAACATGCTCTGTATGGAGGATTGTATTGGCTCTTGCCTTTCCATTGGACTATTTCAGCGATGTGGAGAGGGGGGATTTGCTGCTTGGGTAACAGCCTATCCTCCACTTGATCACCACTCCCGATCCTACAAGGGCAACTTATTCATTGATAGGATCCATGGGATCAGCATCTTTCCACACGGGAATGGATCTTTCCCGTGTCACAGCAGTCAACGGTCTGGCTAGGCCCTGCCGTTTGTATCCCCTGTTCCTTCCTGGAATTGTTGCAGAATTCAACAGGAATTCGAGAAAAATTAAGAGAGCAGCGAGGAGGAGCTGCAGATCACATGAGTCCCTTTGCCCCTGGAATAATAATGTTCGAAATTTACATTTCAAAAGAATAAAGGAAGGGAAGCTATTCTAGGGTGTGGGATGCTTTTCCAGCAGTGAACGTCATGATCTAATCCTGGGTCAATGGGGCATTCCAGCTTTATGTTAGGAGAGTGTTTTAAGGGCTGATCATGCTGGTATTTCAAGGGGAAAATTCTCTCTAGAACAATTATCCGAACATATCTGATTCCTTGGCTGCCCTGTGACAGTAACACGTGAGTATTTTGAAATGCAATCAGCAAAGAGAGTGAAAATTGTTGGTAATGTTTTCCATTCCTTCCGATAGCTCCAGGTGTTGCAACCAGCAGGCGCTACCTGGTTATCAGAAGTTTGCTGTTGTTTTTTTAATGAGGGTCTTAAACTTTCCATACCCATTTTGAAACTTTCTCCCAGACCTTCCTGTTGACATAAAGGCAGGGTTGGTGATTTTTTTTTAATGGGGAGAACAACCTTCAAAGCCAAAGCGGGAAGATGAAAGACAATGTATGCTGATTTTCTGCCTTGTCATACTTGACAGCAATTGGGTACTGTTGCATACGGGCCAGAGTCCTGCTATGGATTTATAGTCCCATGAAGTGTAATGATGTAAATTGGGGCAGTGAATTGCTGCCAATTAAGGCATTGCTGCTTCCATTCCTAGTTGTGTGGTGCTAGTCCTGCAAACAGTGACTTGCTAATTAGAGGCAACTCATTGTGACTTGCTAATTAGAGGCAACTCATTGCTAGGATTAGCAGTTCCACGGGTAAAAATCTACAATATCATTTTGTTCATGGTATCATTGGCTCCATGGAACAATTTATCCTAGAGGCAGGAGATCAAGATATTAAATTAAGTAAATAAAATCCTAATACTGTTCCTGCCTGCAAATTATCATAGTGTCATGGCTGCAGTTCTTCTACATTGCCATCACTGCTTTCACTATCATCTCTCCTCTTCCCCTGGGTTATTCGGCTCAATAGCCTCCACTGTAAACTTCAGGATCTGCATCATTTCCATTGCCATTGAATTAAACCCCTCCCACCCCATCCCACATTTCACACATACCAGTTTCTTCTTCACGAAAATCTGAATTGGAATTTGACGATGTACAGGTGCATTCCATGTGCTCTTCTAGCTTTACAAGGACTTCTTTTAATTTTGGCTTTTTTCTAACATATTCCACTTTTGCCACCTGTGGATTTTTTAAAAAAAAAAATAAAAGACATGTTAGGGGGAAAAAAGTCATAAAAACAATGTTGCAGGCACAGCAATGATGCCCATGGTCTACTTCTTATTAACAGCGGCTGACTCCAATTTCAGAGGTGTCGTGGATCCACTCCCAGTTTTACTGTGTACTTTCCAGGCATTATCCAAGTTGCTAAACCTATTATGGAGACAGGATTCAGCACCATGGATACCTCCTGTATACTACTGAGTGAAGTCTCCTGTAGTGTACCTCATGCAGAGTAAAACCTGGCATGGATTCATAGCATCCCTGAAACTGGAGTCACCAGCCAAGACGACTATTTTTTAATGACAAAATCTAGATTAAAAGTTCCCTTTTCAGGCCCTTTTTGGGTTTAGCCGTCTTCACAAAGTCATCTGTTGGTTTCCCAGCTTCTACAGCTTGCCAGGTTACAAGCAAAAAACTGTATTTCAGGATCCTTCATTATAAGCAGTGCTGCCTTTCTGCTTCGTTTTGTAACTTATGACATAGTTTACAAATGCATTTGGATTGTGTTTGAGTGCTGATATATCCCAGATGCAAACGTAAGACTTTTTTTTTTTAAAGGAAGCCAAGAAAGGAAGGCATGCTATGCTGAGAACCCAAATCTAAATTGGATATGGCCAAGTGCCACTCATATTATAAATGCCTACCAAGCTACCTTGGATAACTTCCACCTGATGAAAGATGCTGCCTTTCTTTTCAAGGATGATTTTATCCAAACAACATACCCACTTGGCAGGATGATGCTTTCATGCAGGCAAGCAGGACCCTGCCCTCCATATTTGGGGCAGAGAGCCAGAAGCTGACAAGGTACTGCCTCGAGATGAGATTTTTAGTTTTGGGGTTTTTTTTTCCAGAGTACCAATAAGGGCAGAGAGCCAGAAGCTGACAAGGTACTTCCTCGATATGGGATTTTTAGTTTTTTGGGTTTTTTTTCCCAGAGCACCAATAACATAATTCTCCATTCTGGGAGCTCTACCTAACAGACATCTTCCAGACACCAAAATATGCTCACCTAGGAGAAAGGCCTCAAGCGGAAGGCCTCAAATCTTAGCTAGGCCTAGTTCCGCACAAGCTTCCTGTTTCTGCAGCAGGACTAGCTCGAAACTTTCTCTCTGACCAAGAGGCTTGGGAGGAGTTTGGCCTGACTTGAACCTCACCTAGGAGAAAGGCCTCAACCGGAAGGCCTCAAATCTTAGCTTAGGCCTAGTTCTGCACAAGCTTCCTGTTTCTGCAGCAGGACTAGCTCGAAACTTTCTCTCCAACCAAGAGGCTTGGGAGGAGCTCGGCCTGACTTGAACCTCATCTTCTAGTTTAGGACTTTCTCCCAAATGATTCAGGTATCTGTAAGGTAGGCAAGACCTCCCATAATGGGCAAGTGTAGTACTTGTAGTCCAAAATAATCAAACAATCCCATCCCTAGAACGTTCTCTTCCTGTGCCAACAAGAAGAGCTGCTGTGTATGCCAACTCTCTTTAACCAATGCTCTCCAATAAACAGCAGTCATCAGAGCACACAAGATGTCTTTGAAAGCAATATTTCCATTTTACTCATAAAAAAATAAAGTAACACAGGAAGCTATCTTACCCTGAGTCACCCCCTTGATCCATTTGCCCCAGAATGGTTAGCACTGGCTAGCAGCACTCTCTGGAGCTTCAGCATTGATTCTTTCCCACTCCTCCCTAAACCTGCTAATGTGCTCGTAGAACTGCTTGTGGGCAACAAGGAAATGCGAGCGGCGACTTGTTAATCGGTGGCCGTTTGCTTCCATAAATGTGATTATACTGACAAAAATCCTCATCAGCATTTGGATCATTGACTCAGTTCCTGAATGTTAACCAAGCGCTTGTGTTCGTTATATTGATGCTCGTGACGACACGCAACGGGACATAGGCAGGATTTTAGACATCAAAAAAGGTAGGGAAGACAATGAGAACAGAGATCATCAGGTTGTGGGAACTGGTTTAAGAGGCCATAAAATATTGCACCATCAAAAGCACCAGAAAAGCAACAGCCGGACGCAAAGTCAAAAGGATTTGAAGGTCACATATTTTGGGACTTGTTTCTTTCTGGAATGCAGAGCTTTCCTTAAGTCAGATGTGTGATGCCCAGAAGAAGCACACACAACGCAAAACCAAACCAGCTTACACAAACACTCCTCATGCTGGTGTGCAAAAGAGATAGAAATAGCATGCAAGACTCCGTGTATGAGCCTACCTGGACATTAAGATAATCAGGAAAGGCCTTTCTCTTGGTTCCACCACCCTCACAGAGACCCTTCCAGTCTCTTGACCTTGAGACCCTTTGGTTGGAGATGCTTAGGATAAAGCTGGAACAGCCGACATGCAAAGCATGTGCCCTAATATGGAGCCCCTAGGCACGAGATTTTCAGAATTCATGGATTAAAACCCCACAAAGTCTGAAGGAATTCCCTCAGCCAGGCCTCTAGGGATTTAGGGGAGTGGGAAGTCCATTTAGGCATTATAAGTTTTGAACCTCTAAACAGAGGCACCCTGTATGGAGCAGAATAGGCAGGAAGACTACCAGACCCATAATGCCTTGCAGTTCCCTTAGCTAGACCTCTAGGGGTTTAGGGGAGTGGGAAGTCCATTTAGGGGATGAAGACAGAGGATGTGCCTAGGCAGAGCTGAGCTCTCTGGAAACTCCAAGGCATTACAGGTTTTGAACCTCTACACAGAGGCACCCTATATGGAGCAGAACAGACAGGAAGACTACCAGGCCCATAATGCCTTGCAGTTCCCACAGAATACAGGCTGTTCCATCCACTTCCTCTGTTTTCATCATGTCTGAGAGAAGCCACCATTCTTTCTCAGATGGAAGTGGTTACAGACACATGAAAGGACTAGAGTTTGTAGCTAAGCCCCAGAAGTTTCCCTGGGGGAATTCCTGAAGACCTCTAGAAACTGTAGTCCACGAATTCTGAAAATACCAAACCTAGGAGTTACTGCTTTTTGAAGAGTGCAGGTTCCTTCCCAAGGGAAAGCATAGTATCTAAAGACTTTTTATCTAATCTCCATTACCCAGAAGATCTTTGTTGGCTGCAAACGAGAGACTACCATAGAAGGATCATGGGAAGCTTCTTAAAACTCATTCGGAAAGTCAAGCGAACTATTGCCAATGCCCTGGGTGATGATGACCTTCCTACGGGCAAAACTAGTTGGCCTTTTAGTCACCCGGTGTGGCGTATGAAACATTCAGAACACCAGCACTTCCCAAAATTGTCAGTTTTCCACAGAGAAAGCTTTTCGGCAGTCTGCAACCAGTTAAGAATGCTCTCCTCCAAAGGTCAACCATGGGTTGAAGCAAGGCTTGTTCGAGCTGCTTCTGGCATGGTATCACTCTCACCAAGTGCAAAGTTGGAAAGGAAAAGTATGGTGTATGTGTGTGAGTGAGTCACCAAACATCAAAGGATGACTAATGTGTTGCATTTACAACAACAAAAGACAGAAAGAACCCTTTGTAATCAGACAGGCAAGCAGAATCCCAAGGGGGGAGGAAATGGTGTAACTTCCACATCAACTGTACTTATTTCAGATGATGGAATGAATCAGCGCCGTAGAAAATTACATGTGTCAAAAATAAACTGCCATTGTTGTTGAATTCTGTATTTTTCAAGACAGATAAACTATACTCATATACATATCCCATACTCTAAAATATGCCAGGCAAGGAAAGCCAAATGTTTTGGGGACACCATAATGATATTGTTGAGTCAATTATTAGGTACAGCAGAGGCTGGAAAAAGCTTGGCCACAACCAAGCAAGAAGAGGCATCAATCACACACACATCCAGACAACTGGCACCTCTTCCACAAAAAAAGGGAGCTTAAAAATCTCCATCAGTCTACACTGATGAGACTGCCCTACTATTTATGCCCATTTCTTGCAGACCCTCTTCCCATGTAAAAAAGAGATCTGAGTTGATTAATAAAGCAAGCCACAAGGAAAGCAAAGTCTATGCTGACGAGTCTATTTGCTGTTACAAATATCCGCTAGATTCTCCATTCATCAACGTTTTAATATATAATTTATATTGATCGTCTTGACTCATCCGAAAGAAACTCAGCAAGCAATGCCCAAGTCTCGTGAGCAGTCCTCATCTCTAGAAAGACAGGATCTCTATAATAGTCCGCAGCACATGAAACTAGCATCTCGTTCAGTGTTTGTGCTCAGTCTTTGAACAAGCACAAAATGTGGCTGTTCAAAACAAGGCACCCCACTAGGTATGGGATTTTGGCATTTTTTTCACTATACAGTGGTGCCTCGCATAGTGACGTTAATTGGTGCAGCAAAAAGCGCTGCAAAGCGATTTCGTCGCTATGCGATTTTTAAAAGCCCATAGGAAAGCACTGAAACCCCTTCAATGCCTTCCTATGGGCTTAAACCTGACCTTTAAGCAAAGATCCTCCATACGGCAGCCATTTTCGCTGCCTGGTAAGCGAGGAATCCATCCCTAAACACAGCAGGCAGCCATTTTGTTTACCCGGCGGCCAATTTGGAACTGCCGATCAGCTGTTAAAAAATCATCGCTTTGCGATAATCAGTAAGCGAAACAGGGTACCGATCATCGCAAAGCGATTTTTTCCCATTTAAAACATCACAATGCGATCGCAAAAGCAATCGCAAACAGTTCGTCAGTATGTGATTTCGTCATTAAACGGGGCGCCCGTTAAGCGAGGCACCACTGTAATTGCAACAATTCAATGGGTGGGGTTTTTTTTGAGAGCTACTGTGTACAGAGCCTAGTGAACAGAGAGACTACCAGTCGAATTTTTGCATACACACAAAAATGGTTCTCGTTCATTTCTCTTGCTGACAGCATCACCAAAAACATCTTCTTGTCTTACGGAACAAGGGAAATCTTGCAGTTCTTTGTTTTCCCTTGTGTGCAAGGATGAAACAAGTAGGAATTCACACCCCTAGCGTACGTGAAACTAGCGAGG